ATATCAGGAAGCACTTAGGTAAAACGCGAGGTGGACGGGTCCATCAAAGTGTGTTTCTGATTGTGAGCCTTTTACCAAAACTGCCTTTATGGTTTTGGTTTTCAACGTGCTACCTCTGGTGGCTCTTTCTGGGCACAAATCGGGTTTTCATGTCCCACGCATTTCATGCTTGTAAATTTCTCGTTTTCCCTTTTTCAAAACGGGGCTGCATGATTTTGTGGTGACATGATTTTCCCTGATTGAGATTGTGCCTCGTATTCACACCTGGTTTTTGCACTAATGATTGTCCACGGCCGTTGGCGTCAACTGCTTAAGGCTTGTGCTTAGCCTTTGGATTCAAAAGTGGATCCGGATACCCCCCTCCCAAACGAAGGGGGGAGACCATTGCCATGGTTCTGTGGAAGAGATAATCTTCCGCTTGGGCATGGATGAAGTTTCTAACCCGTCTGCAGCCCTGACGGATGCGGATACGGACATTGCTGCGGGACCCGGGTCTTTTACTTGGGATGATCTGCCAGCTGTGTTGCGGAGGCGTCTTTCAGCGGATGGGAAGCAACCTAGTGCCGAGATCTTCTGCAACTTATTCGCCGACAGGGCGGATCTGGAACAAGTGGTGGAGAGTGCTGGGTTTGTTTCGGGGTCTGTTGAATGGTTACGTTTTCTGGACGGCATTGAAGACTTGATCCAACAGCTTCAGGGCAGGGCCTCAGTTCTTCACAGAGCACGTGCAGGCCGAGCCTCCCGAAATTTCGTGGCTCGGCAGGGCCTATCTTTGGCAGTGCCGACGGGAGTAGCCTCTTCAAGGGAGGCTCTGGCTTCTTCTTCGGCAATCAAGAGACAATTGCACTGGCCCTGTCGCATGATGAAGCGACAAGCCTTGGCTACCAACGAAGGCGGCCGAGCGCTGGCGGAAGCAAAGGAGTTGCAACGTTGGAGAACAGCTCTGGCAGCCATCTTGAAGGAAGCGGACATGCCCATTTGTACTCAGGTCATGTATATGGCGAATCCCGACAAGGTCCTCGAGCTCTCCGCGGGAAACCTGCGGCCAAGTACGTTGAGGCAGCGCATCAGGGAATGGAGAAAGTTCTCGGCATGGTGCATGGTTTTGACTGGCAAGCCCTGGACGACTTCAGCGCATGTTCTGGTTGACTATCTGGAGGAATTGTTCGGACAACCTTGTGCACGAACCAAGTTGAGGAGCGTTCTTTCTGCGGTTTCGCTGATAGAGAGAGCGGGCGGGGTAATTATTTCCGAGCGCTTGTCGTCCTGCAAGGTCGTCTTGAACATTGTGGATGTCAGGACAGCGGAACTGGAGCAGGGGGCGCCGGACACCAAGAGGGCTCTGCCGTTGCCGCTGATTATGGTCATGTCCTTGGAGCTCACTGTTCTGGATGACAGCATGCCTAAGTACTGGAGAGCATTCTCGTGGGTCAGACTGCTAAAGATCTGGACAGCAAGTCGCACGGATGATCTGCTGGGCATTTTGCCCGATCAGATGTTTTTAGGACGCCTTGGTCTCCGAGGGGTCTTCGACAGGACAAAGACATCGGGGGCAGGCCGGAAGGTCAGATGGGTCTAGAACGGCATGGCTGGTGGAGCCCAAGTGGCTAGAGAAAGGGTATCTCATCTGGAAGTCGGATGGCTTTTCTTTCGAAAGGGACTACCTGGTTCCGAGGGCCTCTAGGTCTTTCAACTCGTGCCGGCCAGTGATGTCGTCCTTCTCCGACCAGGCTACCCTGGCCAAGCTACTGGCAGCTCAGCTCAGGGTCCCGCAGTGGGATGGCAGCAAGTGGATGCTCTCCGCAGACGTTCTGTTTGAGGACAAGCAGTTACTTGCAATCTTCTCGGAACACAGTGAGCGCAACCTGATTGCTTCTTTAGCCTCTGCCTCTGGAATCGACAGAGAAAGACGATCTTACATAGGCAGATGGCATGTTGTGGAAGCAAGCGACGAGTACATCAGGTCGGCGTGGAGCGTGGTTACCTCGCTGCAGTCCCACGTGGTTCAGGCCCTATGTGACGACCGACAAGGTTTGGTCGACTTCAGCTTAGATCTGATAGAAGCGCGGTTGCTGGAGATAGGCATCGAGAGCCAGGCACAACAAGCAATCCTCAAAGTATGGAGCACACCAGCGGGCTGGCAGGCATGGAGGGCGGCGCAGGTGTCCAGTTCATCGACTACATCATCGTCGCTCCCGGACGTGCCCGAGAGGTCCAGCGCTGAGCATGAAGCCTTCGCATACTTTGTGACAGTGGTAGGGAAGCGTAAGCTTAGAAGACTCCACAGAAAGGGGGGGTGCGGGACTGCGCCTTCCTGCGTACAGAGGGTGGAGTACTTCGAATCATTGCAGAATGTGCAATATGATGCAGAGTGCAGGCACTGTTTCCCTCCCGAGAGGGCAGAGCCCGAGGAGGAGGCTTCATCAATTTCGTCCAGTACGGACGATGAGACGGGCTCGGAGTCTAGCTCGTCGTAACGAACAAAAACAGGCCTGAGCGAAGTGAATCACATTCGTGGCGGCTGCGGTTCGATAGAGCTGCGGGAGCTGCTGCAATTTGTCAGTTTATTTCGTTGGGGGATCTGCCCTGTGTTGCACTCTTTATTTGACTTGGGCTTGAACAATTGGCACGTTCGGGGAATTGGCGGTTGTGACTCGGAAGAGCCACGGGAACCGCCGATCGAACAACAAGCTTGACAGACTGCCTGCAAGCGTGTTGAGTCCCTCTAGATTGGGCGGTGGCGGCACGGAGTGGTCGCGGGCATCGCCACATGTATTCAATCTTGTGCAGTGGTGTTCCCAATTCTTGACGGTGCCGTCTGAACGCGGTCGCGGCTCGGAAGAGTTGCGGGGACTGCAGGATGAGCAGTATGTCTGTCACCGGATGTGCCCAGGCGAGGTCGTTGCTAAAGGTTGGAGCATTCTGAGACCGATTCGCTGAATGCCGCGGTTCAACCTCAGCAAATAGGACCTCATCGCACTTTTCCGGCCATGGCCGCACCGGTGGCTCTGACTGCAGCGCAGCAGGGGCATGTGCAGAAGCTCGCGTCGGATCTGCTTTTCCTTTTGCAGGATGCGGGCGTTGTGTCCACGTTGCAAGCACGACTAGGAGAGCTGAACGTGGTCTCAGTGGCCTTGTTCGCGGGGCTTGATGAGGACAGGGCTGAAGTTCGGGCGGCCCTGGCAAAGGACCTCCCTTTGGATGTGACGGCAAGTACGGAGAACGGACTGGAGATGGCAAAGCTTCTCACGGCCTGGGAGGCAGCACGGCTTCAGATGCAGGCCATACAGCGCAACCAGGCCGAGTCCAAGCTTGGGGTGCAGCAGCGTGTCTTGCGCCCTACCGAACATCAAGCCATGCGGCGAGCAGTGGAGGCAGTCCTGGGGGCGCTGCAGGACAAAGAATGCCCGAGCAAACAGGTCATCGCGAACAAGTTGGAGATGATCGAATCTAATATGCCTTGCGCTGAGCTGCTGACAGAGATAGCTTCGGTGGAAGATGCCGAAACAGAAACTTTCGAAGCCAAGATTGACCTAGTCACCAACACCTTGAAGATCAAAAGCGGCAAGCATACCGTCGCTGCGCCTTCCACTCCAGAAGAGCTACGTCTTCGTCACAGGCGAGGGGCTGGCTTGGGACATGTTGGCGACGAAACACTTCAATCGTCCCTGGCTTTCCACGAACATGACCGATTGCATGAGGAAGTTCAGCGATTACATCTTGGGTAACAAGGTGGCCGGCCTCGTGTCAGGTAATCGCAGTCCACCTTGGAACTTGGTGCTCTCCTTTGAGCATGAGGCAAGGAGGGCAGTGCACCGCTGGCTCCGTGACGGGGACTGCGCCAACTTCCATGATGCATTCAAGAGGGCAACTTCGGATGTGGAGCTCCTTAATCGGCACTTGGTCATTCCGTTCTCACTTAACGTTTCTTCGCCTGCTATCCCCGCATTCCCTCCTGTGCCGCCAGCGACCTTTGAGAGACCTCCTAAAGGCCCTGGCAAAGGAAAGGGAAAGACTGCAGCAAAGGCCACAGCTTCCGCTCAAGCAAAGTCCGGCAAGCTCACTAAGGCCACGGATGGTACACCGATCTGTTGGAAGTTCAACAGGCGCGGAGGTTGCCATGATGCTCAGTGTCGCTTTCTGCACGTGTGCCAGCGGTGTCAAGGCAAACACCCATATTTCGCGTGCAAGCATGTGAAGCGGCCAGCCGGCGCGGTGACCAACGCACCGGACGCCGCTCCCTGACAGATGACGACCGACGAGGCCCTGGACGTGGGCCCAGTTTCATCCTCGAGCTCCTCGAGGCGAAGAATTCGTTTGCTATACCTTTTTGCGGGACAAGCCCGAAAGGGCGACGTAAGATCCTATCTGCACGAGCTCCAGGGTACAGAATGTCAAGTGGACATTGAATAATTCGACCTGGAGCGAGGTCAGAACCTGCTGTCGGATGACGTTTGGCTGCCTCTTCTGCGGAGAATCAAGAATGGTGAGTTTGATCTGCTGCTGCTCAGCCCGCCTTGCCACACGTGGTCGCGGGCCCCATGTCCAATGATTCAGGACCTAAGCCTCTGCGAAGCAGTGATTGGCCCACTGGATTTCCCTTGTTGAAGGGCGCAGACAAGCTCAAGGTGGACGAGGGCACGGAGTTCATTTCCCGTTCGCTGGAGATTATCCAAGTGGCTCACCAACATCGTGTTCCTTGGCTCATCGAGCATCCAGAAGATCTCGGGCCCACTGCCCGCGGCACCCCAGCATCCATCTGGTCCTGGGAAGTTTCACGGCGCATCTTTGTCAAGCTGCAAGCCACCACTGTTGCTCTGCATCAATGCGCGTATGGCTCAGACTTTCGCAAGCCTACCCGCTTCACGGGAACGTGGCATGGTCTGCCTACTCTGGGCTTTCAGTCTTCAGAAATGGGCAGTACGGGGCCCGTTGCCACGCAAATGCGGACATCAGCGCCCTCCGTTAGTCGGTCGCGACTCCACAGAAGGCTTCAGGACAGCACCTACCGCGGCCTACGGCCCTGGCCTCTGCAAAGCTTTGGCGGTGCTGGCTCTCAAAACCGCAGCCTCTTCCAAGTCGAGAAAGGGGGGTGAGATCGCTACGGATGAGGCTGTGTTGACTTCAGCTTCGGCTACGCCCTTGGAGGATGTGGAGAAGCTGGCTGCCAGTCTCCTGGACAAGGGTGCAGCCCCTACCAAAGAACAGCTGCTGCAGATCTTTGAGCTCCTCCCAGGGGAGACGCCTTCGAGGGGCCAGGCGGAGGAAGACTCCAAATCGTTCATTGTTGGATCTTATTCCATTGGAGGCGGGCTGGCTGGGATCAGACGGAACACGAGAAGTTTCCTCTCAGTGACCAGGCTTCTGTGTGGCTTTGTCAAATCTTTGGCAGAAGACTTTCTTTTCTCTTGTGTGGGGCTCTTTAGGAATCTCCGCACTAGGCCCCACAAAGATTCTGGTAACCAAAAGGGGACCTTGAATTTGGTGACAGCGCTCGAGCCTTTCGTTGACGGCGGCATTTGGGTGCAGTCAGATCGGGGCACCCATCCATGCCCCTTCGAGGAGATCGCTGACAAGGGCACTTTGCTGGGTCTGGAGACCGGACATGTCGTCTTTGATTCCCGCAGGCTGCACTGCACTCAAAGCTGGAAGGGAAGACGTACCGTCCTAGTGGCTTTCACTTCGCGCTTAGGCCCGGCCCTTTCGCTGGAAGACAGGGATTGGCTTGGCGACCTCGGGTTCAACCTGAAGGAGAGCGGAGATGAACGGGATGACCCGATGTGGGACAAGGCGTCCCGAAAGAGGCCACCTGACACGGCCGCGAGCGGCGGGATGGAGGAGTTGACGTCGGGCCCGGATTCAGAGGACGAAGAAGACTCTGGATCCACGTCTGAGGAGGATGAAGACGGTCACGTCAAGCCAAAGAGAGGAGACGGGGTGCTGGGATATGGCGCTCCATTGATTTCAGTTTTGGCAGGAAGAGTTCGGACCTTCTCGGATGGACATGGCTTGGCTTCACCTATTTCCATAAGGAATTCATGGACGTGCTCCTCAAGCTCATCGGCGAGAGGGTGGATGCCAGGAAGATAGCTTGTCTTCTTGCCACGGGCAAATGCAAATCCTGCCCCTTCCCTGAGGGCCTGATTCTGGCGGGAAGGGAGCTCCTCTTCTCGAAGCTGCGGGCCTGGGGTTCACAGGAGCCACTGGGACAGGTTCCCGAGAGACAGCCCTTCTTCCTGTACGCCATCTTGGAGATGCTAAGACTGGCGGATGATCCGGACTGGAGGCAATACACGGTAGCCACGCACTCGTATGCTGCTGGAGTGCCCCTGCGGGTTGATTACAGGATGCCGCGTAATCCTGCGCTCTTCGGGCGGAAGCTCAAGCACCGGGATTACACAGGCCTCGGGGGGGATCCGGGCGGCAGCTGGAGAGAGAACTACAGTTCAGTGGAGCCCTACGTGGAACAAGTGGAAAAGCAATTCGAGGACGAGATCCGCTTGGGGTCCATGATAAAGCTGGAACCAGAAGAGGCGGTCCGGCGATTCGGCTCCAAGCTGGCAGTGGCATCTCTAGGAGCGGTGCCAAAGCCGGACAAGACGGTCCGAGTCGTCTTCGATGCCACCCATGGCCAGCACATCAATGACTCCGTCCGAGTTCGTGACCAGCAATCTCATCCGACTGGGGCGGATCTCAAAGCCACATTGGAATCCCTGCCTTTCGCCGCTTTCTCGCTCAGCGGGGATGTTTCCCGTGCGCGCAGGCTCATACGGGTCAGGGAAGCAGATTGGCCCCGACAATCGTGTCGGGCACGGAAGGGCGGGAGTATCTTTACAAACGCTGTCGGAACGTTCGGAGTAGCGTCAGCGAGCTACTGGTGGTTCCGCATGATGGCAGGACTCGGCAGACTCCTCTACTATGCTCATGGAAAGGACGAGACCACCCTCCTTTCTTACGTCGACGACCTCTTATGGTTGACGCAGTCAGCCGATGGTTTGGTGCGCATCGTGGCATCCATCTTGCTACTCACCATTCTTGGCATGCCGTTTGCGTGGCACAAATTTTCCGGGGGCAAGGAGCACGACTGGATCGGGTTTGCGCTTTGTGTCCCCTCACGCACCATTGGAATCTCGCTTTCGAGGTCTGACTGGATTGTCAACTGGATTCGGAAAGTGAGAGCGGATGGTATGGTACGTATTTCGGATCTTAAGTCTGTGCTGGGCAGGCTTTCATTCGCATTTTCTGTGATACCTCTTCTTCGGCCGTTTCTGGGGCCCATCTATGCGTGGACCTCGGCCACTCAAGCGCTGCGCACCCTCAGGTTGCCAAAGGCCATCGAACTGATCCTGAGCTTTCTGCAGACGTGCCTGGAGCAGGGCATGCGTCGGGTCACGATCGGGCGGCAGCTGGGTCCGGTAGCAGAGCTCTTCAGGACGGATGCCAGAGCACAAGGCAGTGAGCTCTGGGTAGGAGGCTGGTGTTGTGCGGACGATCCTGACCCCCGAAACTGCAGGTGGTTCAGCGAAAGGATCGATCATCTGAAGTTCCCGATCTTTTACATGGCGGGGCAATCCTACCGGTCCATCTCTGCTCTTGAGCTGCTGGCTACGCTGATTGCAGTGATCTTGCTTAAACCGGAGGGGAAGGCTTCTGGGGTCAACGTTTGTTCGGCTTCTACCGACAATCGCGGCAACTCCTTTGTCACGGCTAGGTGGCTCACCACGGCTTTCCCTCTCAATGCCGTGTTGATGGAGTTGGCGGCGGTCCTGCAAAAGAACTCTTTGGCCCTGGAGTTGCATTGGGCCCCGAGGCTGCAGAACAAACTGGCGGACGCACTGTCAAATGGTGTTTACTCCGCTTTTGACCCTCAGCTGAGATTGCGGTTCGACTTCGAAAGTTACAAGTCGCTGGTACTGCATGAACTCATGGGCTTGGGTTCGGAGCTGTACGGTGAAATCAAAGAACACAAGGCAAAGCTCGTCTCGAGAAGAGCGGTCAAGCTAAGAAAAGGTGAGCGGCTCAGGGATAATGATCCTTGGAAATAGTGCCTCCTCCGACCGTCAGCAAGCATGGGCAAGAACGTGTTGATGCGGTTGGCATCGGCAAAGCAGATGCTGGGCTAATGCTCGGTATACCCAGGGACTCTCACACACCTACCGCCTCGTGATGAGGTTTGGAAAAAAGTGGGAGTCCGATTCGCAGCTTTGCATCTTGTTCTTGTCGGTTCCGATGCGCAACATGTCCATTTCAAGTTTCGACTTGATACGATTTTGGATTATGAGTCTCATATTCCATTTGAATACTTGATTGTTTACGACTTGGATGAGTGGAGAATGTCCTTTGAGAATTTTCTCGAAATATTTCATCCTTTGAGTGGGTGGGTGATTTGCGGGTGGGGCTCACTGGCGAAACACAGATAAGTATGAAGTGGGTGATA